ATGTTTTGAATAGAGAACATATTAAAGGCCTGGGGGCAGATCCTCACAGCTCCAGCAGCTATGACACTTTACACCAGCTGAGGATATAACCCTTAGACTTAAGAGTTCAAATTCTACATGCTTTGGGAATACTAACAAACAACTTACCCGGCCCTCAGAATTTTTAAATTCCCAAGATCTCCATAACTACCTGATTGAATGCTTAAATAGATTTTGATCCAATATTAATTCCTACTGCCTTACTGCTTGCACAGAATTCTTATGAATGGCAATCCTCTTTGCAGACCAATTTAGCACAGTCATGGGGATATTATTAGGAGAAATATAGATTATTCATTCAATATGCATTACTCTGCATTTATCAAAATTAAAATTCAGCTGCTATTGTATTATCCTGCCTTTGGTTAGATTTTTCTGGAAGTTTTTCCTACAATCCTCTCTATTTTTTTTACTAATCTAAATAGTTTTGTGTCATCAGCAAATTTCACCGCTCCTTCCCCTAACAAATCATTAACAAACATATTAAATAACATGTAGCGCAGCGAAGGCAGGATGCTTTTGTGAAATAAGCATAAGATGAGGAGTTAGGGAGGTAGGTCTAGACACAGATCCACAAATGAGTATTTAAGTATTTATCCACAGTGGAACAGTCATTGGGCCACACAGAGAGAAAGACTCTGTAGTCCAGTAGTTAAGGAACCCACTTGGGAAGTGGGAAACCCAGAGTCCAGTCCCCCTCTTCATATCACTCTCATTATTTATTCATAGTGGAACACTTCAACAGGAGATACTGAGGGAGTCTCATATCAGACTATTCCATATCTCATTGGTTGGACCACTCTCCAAAGAGGTAGGAGACCCCCGGTCTTTCTCCCCCTCTGGCAGAGAGGGGAGAATTGAACCTGGGTCTTCAACATTCTAGGAAATGTTCTAGCCATTGGGCTAAAAGTTATAAGATGGGTAGCATTGCCCCCACCACCTCCTCCTCTGGTGACCAGATTGTGAATGAAACCCAAACCAGTAGGTGGCCTCTGAACACTCCTACCGGATCTGGCCAAGCATGTGTCTGTCTTCCCCCGGTTTGTGAATTGCTCTGGGGCTTGGGGGGAGATAGACATCTGGACAACTACAGTAAGGAGGCAGTGCACATGCTCACAGACAGAAACATAGGCACTGGGGAACTTTTACCCTGAAAACTTGGGCACCTACAGGGTTTGGCAGGAGTTTTCTGCATTGCAGTGGTGCCTAAAAAAACAGAGATTTTGGCACCTAAATCTGGGTGCCTAAGTATCTTTGTGGATCTCACCATCTCTAAAATGGGATAATACTTTTTTGATTCATAGTGGTATTCTGAGAATTAGTTACTCTGTACAGAATTTTAAATTTATAAATAGCATTATTATTATTATTATAAAATTGTTCTTTAGGTCCACCATTAACTTCCCAGCCTCTATTAATTTCCCTTTACTCAGATTAGTAGGACGTAGTTTTATCCACAATTCAATATTGCCAACCCCAGGTGTTCAAAAATCATGAGTCAGGACCCCCAAAATCGTGAGATTTTTTAAACCTCAAGATTTAAGCCAAGTATATAATAATTTGGGGATCTTTTTATTTGCCTTTTGTTATTTGAACCTTTAAAGATAATGGTTTATAACTTTTCTCCATAACCATGATATCTAGAAATTTACTTTTGTTTAAAAATGAAAGCTGAGAGTCTTACATTATCACATGACTCCAGAAGCTGGAATTTTAAGAAAAAAAACATCAAATACTGTGAGAGTTGGCAACATTGCAATAGGATTTTCTCCTTTATCCTGTGTTTTCCCCAGAAACAGTCTCCCATTCTTGGGAGACCTTGTCAAAAGCTGTTTCAAAATTCAAACAACAGAGCCAGTATTTTATTTACGCGTCTCTTTCAGAGAATTCTAACAGTAAATCAGCACAAATTTAGCCTTACAGAAGCTATATTGATCTGACCTTACTGAATATATGTATAGTATCCAAGTTATAATATTCCATACCTCATTATTTAGACACATTTTATTCACTCCTTGTTCCTTTGGTTTTGCTCTTCAGCACACACACTATCACTGCCTCGAATATAGTGTTTTTGAACAGCCTTCAGATAGATTCTATGGATTATGGCCCAATCCTGCAAGCATTTACATATGTGCTTAACTTTATGCACAAGAGTTATTCCATTGACTTCAGAGGGACTTCTTAAGTGTCTAAAGTTAAGCATGTCTGAAAATGTTTTCAGGATCAGGGTGTAAAGTGTGTCTTAGATACATTTTCAATGGTGTAACTACATGGTAGTTGCACAAGTAGTACACTGGTATAAATCCTTAAGGTAACTAAACTGCACTGGTGCAGACTGGGGTTTGCACCAATATGACTTAACCTGATCATTTCAGGTATTTTAGTTTGCCTTTCAGCCTATTTTTAACAGTTTATCAGCGTTTCAGAAGAAAAAACTCCACTCTTATATGTTACGGTGTTGTCCATTGCTGACTCCCATTCTTAATCCATGATAGCCAAACAATGTATCCTGAGCAACAGTGACCATCTGTTCTTCTAGTTATTCTCTGAACCAGTTCCTGTGTATCACACAAGACTAGGTTGAGAATTAGTTCTTTCTTGCATGATCCAGAACTAGTTACTGGTAAAAGCTGATTACAATGACAGAAGTTACAGAAGGAATCAGGTTATTGGGAAATTTTAAATAACTTATCTTAACATTAGTGGTTCTAATCTTCAATAGCACAAGCTTGCACCCTTATTCTTGTGGAAATATCCTTTTAAATGAATGAACTATCTAGCCCTGCTAGATGACTGCTGCTAAGATAGTTAATATTTCAATGGTGTCCATTTGTCTTTAATACCAGATGAGATGAATGGGAGCAGTTTGCCTCTCTCTGAGAGACAGACTGCCCACAAAGTAGAACAGTATCTCATCAGTTCACCTTTGGAAGGTTATTTTTGCAACTGAAATGAAATTGAATTAAAAATAAATCTTAATTTCTTCAGAAAATTATCTTGATAACAGAAATCCATGGAGAGAACCTAAATCTCCAGAAAGTGATGTTACTTGCATGTGGATTTCTAGTTTCTCTGTCCTGAAAAAGGTGGGGTAGAGGAGAGGAATTGTACTTTCACCAACAGAACAATCTAAAGATGACAGCTGTAACATGTACTAAGTACACGTTTAAAATTTTGGAAAACTTCTCAGATATGCAAGGGTATTGACTCCAAAAATCCTAATCAAGTCCTTATTGTGATGCTGTCATTTAACATGCAGCATTCAGCTAAAAATGGCCTACAGGGGGGAAAAATATTTGTACTGTTTTTGCTGAAATCAAACTTTTTCTGTGTTTTTTTTTTTAACATTATAAACTTAGAAAACACTATGTCTAGATTTTCAAAAGGGGCCTGTGCATCTTCAGACTCTTTGGGTATAGTTTTCACAGGAGCACAGTATTGCCAACACTAAGGCTCATTTTCTCAAAGGCTCCTAACTTCTATTGATTCCAGTGGAAATTAGGAGACTAAATGCTTTTAAGGATCTGGGTAAGTGTTCAAAAATCACAAGTCTGGCCAAAAAAAAAATGAAAAAAAAAGTAATGAGTGGCTTAAAAATCATGTGACTTTAAAAGAATAATACCTTTGGGATTCTTTTTATTTTGATTTTTTGAGACTTCAGGGTTCTTGCTTTCAAGTTTTTCTCTTTAATTATGAGAATCTAGAAACTTTCTTAAAAAAATGAAAGCAGAGGTTCCCATATAATCACATGCCTGTAAAAGAAAAACATCAAATATCATGAGACTTGTGATAAAATGGTAAAAGTTGGCAGCACTGGAAGCACCTGCTACTCATACAGACTTCAACTGGACCTGCAGGAGCGTGGCACTTTTGAAAACCAGGCCCAAGAGATCTCCAGCTGGGCACCCAAAATCAAAGGCCACTTTTGAAAAATTTTGGCCCAAGCATTAGTGGAGAACTGGCAGGATTCTGACAGTGTTCCACAGAAGTGAAGTATGTGGAACAGAAGTTAAGTTCCACAACTTAACTGAAGTGGGAAACCTGTTTTAAATGTTTTGATTCTATTTCCATTTTTCTCAAATGGCCTTATGACAAAAGTTTTTGTTAAAGATTCAACACTCTATTAAATTAAGGCCAGCAGAAAGATCCGAATTAATACCCCCAGTGAGTTCTCTAGCAAAAATCAGGAAAACTAGATGTACCCGTCCTGATATTTCTACATTAAAAAAATCATAAGTAAAAACTTTAAAAAGCAGTAACAGCAAATCCCTTCCTCCAGGCCTCTGTGTATCACAAAGGCAAAAAAGGACATCTTTAAATTGCTTTTTGCCAAGACACTTTTAATGTCCTTGCCAAGAAGCTGCTGCATTTACTGTATTGAGGTCAATCACCTATGCAGAGAGCCTGTTGCAGGACCAGGGCTTAAATTATTTTTGCCTCCCCTATGGTCAGAGGCATAGCGAGCGCCCTCTGTACCCTCCGACCGGAGGGGGCCCCGCAAGGAAGGGGGCCCCTAAAAGTGGCAACATAAATACCGCATTCCAGTTTCTGCATTGTAAGGGGCCCCGCCCAGACATACGTTCGGAGGGGGCCACGTTCTTTGTTGCTACGGCCCTGCCTATGGTAGCATCATAGATTCCCTGAAGTAGTATCAAATCTGGTAGCTGGAATGTGCGACTAACTATGGGGTAGCTTGGACCATTGTGCCCTGGTTTTATACAGGCAATGGCCTGGGGCAGTGGCTCTTAACCTTTCCAGATTTCTGTATCCCTTTCAGGAGTCTGATTTGTCTTGCATACCCCCAAGTTTCACCTCACTTAAAAACTCAGACATAAAAATACAGGTGCCACAGCACACTATTATTGCCTACATTTTTACCATATTATAAAATAAATCAATTGGAATATAAATATTGTACTTACATTTCAGTGCATAGTATATAAAGCAGTATAAACAAGTCATTGTCTGTATGGAGTTTTGGTAGGCCTGACTTCACTAGGGCTTTTTACCTAACCTGTTGTAAAACTTGCCAAATATGTAGATGAGACCTGCATAGCCCCCCAAACACATACCCCTGGCCTAAGACACTGCATTAATGACAATAACATTGCAGCTGCATGGGGTGAAGGGCATTACTGGTTGACCCTGACAGCTCTAGAGGGGCTCGTGCTTGGGAGCAGCAAGCAAATCACAAGACATCTCAGGGCCCTGCAGGGAAAACTCGGTGGGACGCTCCTCTCTCTGATACCACTTTTGGACTCCTCCTGTAGCTTCTGCTGTGGAGACGGCAGCGCCCTCCCCTGGCTCGGAAGCCGCGGATGGGCGGGCAGCGCCTCCCGCCGAGGTGGGCGTGTTCGGCCAAACACTCTACGCATGGAAACTTCTCCGAGCCTGTCCGCGGCGCTGGATGCGCTCTGCCCCTTCGCCCCCTGGCTCTGGCAGGGCTGGGGACGTGGCTGGCAGCCCGCGGCTTGATTTCTCCCGAGGGTCCGTCCCTGCCGCCAGGAGCCCATGGGGGGACAGGGGCGCGCCCCCCACCATGACTCCGCTGCAAGGCAAAGGCCATAAAACGACCCCACCGCCTTAGCCAGAGCAAGCCCCGGCCGGGAGAGGGCCAGCAGCAGCCGCGGAGTCTCCCGGGGAGGGGGGCGAGGGCGACATGCCATGGAAGGCCGGGACTCCGGACTGCTGGGCTTGGAGCAGATGCTAGCGCCTTTCGGGGGCCACCAGCAAGAGAGGACGGCTCGGCTGCTCCCGCGGGACCCCTGGCGAGGCAGCTCCGCAGAGCAAGAGCAAGAGGGGGCGGCGGTGGCTGCGCTGCCTCTGCAGGAGCCCTGGGGCGAGCCGCAGCGGGCCGGAGCCTCTCCCCTGCTGGAGGATGGGGAGCTGCTGCTGGGGCTGCGCCGCCGCGGCGGGCGGTCCCTGTCGCTGCCCGCTAGCCCCAGCCTGGCGGCCGCCGGGCTCTTCCCGCCGCCGGAGGAGGGCAGCGGGGGCTGCTGCACCAAGTGCAAGAAGCGGGTGCAGTTCGCGGACGCGCTGGGGCTGAACCTGGCCAGCGTGAAGCACTTCAGCGCGGCGGAAGACCCGCAGGTGCCGCCCGCCGTGCTCTCCCGTCTGCGGCGCCTGCCCCGGGAGGAGTTCAGCGCCGCGCTCGGCCTGGGCTGCGGGGCCCGCCCGCCGCCTCCCCCCCTGCAGCTAGTGCCCGACTTCCAGCCCGCCGGGGAGGTGGCAGTGGCCGAGCGGCTACGGCGGGAGCGGGTGTGTCTGGAGCGCCTGGGCCGCCCCGCGGTGGCCCTGGACGTGCGGGGCACCGTGCGGGTGCTGAGCTGCCCGGGCCCCAAGGAGGTGACGGTGCGCTACACCTTCAACGAGTGGCGCTCCTTCCTGGACGCCGCGGCCCAGCCCCTGCCCGGCCCCGAGGAGAGCGACCCCCCTACCGAGCGCTTCCACTTCAGCCTGTGCACCCCGCCCGGCCTGCTGGAGGGCTCCGCCGTGCACTTCGCCGTCTGCTACCGCAGCCAGCAGGGCGAGTACTGGGACAACAACGGGGGCAGCAACTACACCCTGCGCTGCTGCCGCCCCGCCCCCTGGGGGCTCCCCGCAGCGCCCAGCACAGACACCGGCCAGGGCGACCCCACCGGGCCCCTCTACTGAGCGCCGCCTGGGACAGCCGTGAACCAAACCAGCATTCCCCAGCCTGGGGCAGCTCCTGCCTTCAGCTTAGCCCGGCAGCAAACCAGCATTACCCAGCTTGGGAGCAAAAGCAGCGCCTTACTCTAAGCCTAGCTTGGGGGCAAACAAGCTGCCAGCTAGCTAGCGGCTTGCAGGGAGCCTGGGGTCAGCCACCCATTGTGCCGAGCCTGCGGTGGGTGGGGTGTGGTAACAAGCAGCCGGCTATGAATGTCCTGCCCTTGAACACAGAAAGTGAACGCTCTGAACCAAGCCAAGCCTTAGCTGTCAGAGACCACTGCAGAGTGTCCCATTCCTTGTACTTGCACCCTAGACCAACTCAATACCAATTTCCTGCTGCATAGTCACTGGTTTCTGAGCCTTCCATTAGAATGTGGCTTGTTTTGTTTAATTAAAGAGCTGACTGATCCAGGGACAGGGGCCTCCTACCATTAGCCTTAAAGTTGTAGAAAAAGTGAGGTCTGACCTGTTGGTTCCGGTATTGTTAATTCACCATTTTTGTAAAGGAAATGAACTCTCAGGAGCTGCAAGAAATCAGCACAGTTTCCTCCCACAAACTATTCTCTTTATTGTTGGTTAAAGAGAACTGGAAACAAGATCTTTTTGTGATTTATTTTTAAAAAAATATTTGTCTAACTTGAAGATGGTGCCTTATATGAAGTTTCCTATTTAATACACTGAATTTAAAGAGAGAACTTTAAATCCAGTGTTGTGACTGTGCTATGTTTATGCATTAGGCATTTCTCTTTAGAATGACAGATAATGCATGCACTTTCCCTTTTATGGGTATGTAAGCATTTCCTAGAAACAGGGACAGATGTAGGCAAAAACAGAGTTGTTATTATGACTTGCAGAAATCCAACTCTTTTCTGAGAGGGAGAACTGGGTGAGGGTCAGTCCCCAACCCCCCTAATTCTTAAGTCTTGATTCTGCAAACACACGGGTTCAAAAAAGAATTGGATAGGTTCATGGAAAATAGGTCCATCAATGGCTATTAGCCAGGATGGGATGCCATCCCATGCTTTGGATGTCCCTAGCCTCTGATTGCCAGAAGCTGGGAGTGGATGACAGGGGATGGATCACTTGATGATTGCCTATTCAGTTCATCCCCTCCGACGCATCTGGCACTGGCTGCTGTCGAAAGACAGGAGGATACTGGGTTAGATGGACTATTGGTCTGACCCAGTATGGCTATTCTTATGCTTAACTTTATTCATGTGAGTAGTCAATGAGGCTACTCAAGCACTTAAAGTCAAGCACCTATGTTGTTGCCTGACCGTGGAGGAACTTAAAGGCTTAAATTCAGTCAGTAGTCTTCACACGTTCAAATGAGGGGCCTAATTCTTTCACCCCCTTCCAAAAACAACATAATATGACAGCAGTCTTCCACCCTATTTTTAATTGAATGGAATCCATAATATAACTTTCATGTGTGAACACTTTCTGGTTTATTTGTGTCTCATCTTTGCTGTAGGTTTGGAGGCCCCGAATGACAGAAAATATCCTTCTTTCCTTGTAAGTTAGTGCACTTTAACATTGTTCAATGGCTAATGCAGTTCCCACGTACCACAGCCTAGTTTTATAAAGTTCATGCGTAGCTCTGGCTAATCTTTGTTAAATAGAGTCTTGCCTAACACACACACAGAGGAGTTGCTTTTTCTTCTTAATGAAAGATCTAGAAATTTAAAATAGTGATGGTTTTTCTAACGGTATGTCTATGCTACAGGTATTAGAGCAGCACAGTTGCAGCGCTGCAGTTACACCTCTGTAGCACTACAGTGTAGGTCAGGGGTGGCCACCTGTGGCTCCGGAACAACATGCAGCTCTTTAGAGGTTAATATGCGGCTCCTTGTATAGGCACCGACGCTGGGGCTGGAGTGACAGGCACCAACTTTCCAATGTGCCAGGGGGGCTGCACTCTGCTCAACCCCTGGCTCTGCCACATGCCCTGACCCCACTCCACCCCTTCCCGCCCCCTCCCCTGAGCCTGCCATACCCTCGCTCCTCCCTCTCTCTCCCCCCCCAGAGCCTCCTGCATCCCACGAAACTGATCGGAGGTGCGTGGAGGGAGGGGGAGGTACTGATCGGCAGGCATGCCGGTGGGTGGGAGGCTTTGGGAGCGGGGTTGGGGAGCTGATGGGGGGCTGCTGTTGTATTACTGTGGCTCTTTGGCAATGTACATTGGTAAAGTCTGGCTCCTTCTCAGGCTCAGGTTGGCCACCCCGGTGTAGGCACTACAGTGAAGGAAGGAGTTTCTGTTGCTGTAGTAAATCCATCACCCTTGAGAGGCACTAGGTAGGCTGATGGAACAATTCTACTGTCAATCTGGCTGTGCCTACAGAGGCGATTAGGTTGACCTAACTACATCACACAGGTGTGAAATTTTCAGTAGTATGATGCCCAGTTGTTACATGGATTTTTTTAAAATTTGGCGTGGGTAAATATTTTTGTTAGGGATGACTACCTGAGGAATGGTTTTATAAAGTAGAGTCAGGTCTTAATTTTTCATGATCCTCACTAATGAGTGAAAATAAATGGTTTCCTTCAGCCCTTTTCATGCTATATTCATAGCCACATTTCTGTAGGTATTTATAGTACCTTATTCTGTTTAGTATGAAAGCATTGTTCTAAGTGTCATTTGTCAGTATACATTTGTAAGAGACCCCATTTGCTAACATCTAAGTTAGTGGTGTTACAAGCAGGGCTTTGGAGCTGTGCTTCGGCTCCAGGCAAAAACCTGCAGCTCCACTGGTCCGGAGCTGCTCCATGCTCCAGCTCCGGGCTCCGCTCCAAAGCCCTAGTAACAAGATAAGTGGCATGGAAAAGTATAACTTTTTACATTTAGATGACTGATATGTTTAAGTGCATGGAGCTGTAATTTATAGAACTGGATGCTCCAAGGCTTGTCTACATTATGGAAAGGTAACTTAATGGAATACTCAATTACAATGTGATAGTGCCCCCTAAAGGTTAAAACAGTTAGATTTTGCAGTGTAGACAGGGTCAGACTCTGTTAGTGAATCACACTATAACCTTGGACTTTGCAGGTCTGTGAGCAGCATTCATGGTTAATTGCTAAAACATGGTTTAATCCTGTCTGAGCCACAGGAATAAATCGTGGTTCACCTATGTTAGGGCACTACAATATTGTAAGTACCTACAATGACACATTAGACTTTCAGTGTGTATGAGGCCTTTTTAGCATAACGAAAACACCAATTTTCAATGGAATTAATTGGGAATGTTTCATTACTCAACTCGATCTATATTCTTGTAATACCGTACAGTACTTCAAAATGTGTTTGAGGTTGTACACAGTAAGTTGTATAAATATAAACTGAAAGAGAAATCCCAGTAGTAATTCTACAAGTTAAGTATATACTCCCCCCAGATATGCACCGAGTCCATATATTTTAAAAAGGAAAATAGTGAAATGGTTTATTGTCCCCAATACATTAACTTCTTTAAAAAAATATGTAGTATAAACAGGATACTACATAGGAAAATGTAAGCTGATCTAGTTTCTTAAGATGGTAAAGACATAAAACATTAGATTGTTCCTACTTGAAATTTATGCTATTACAGCTGAGGTATGATGCTAAAAGTATTGAGCCCAATTCTTCACTGAATTACATCATAAAAAGAATAATTAAAAATATATTTTTTTAAACTGACTATTAAAGGTTAAATCTAGCCCAGGCGGGGGGAGAGCGAGCGAGCAGAGATGCTAGCTGGTATGTCCAAGAATCCTGCTGTCAGGGCAAGATTATTCACAGCAAGTCAGAATGTTCTCTGGTATGCAACAAACTCTGGCAAAGTTTTGCGGAGTTGGTCTCCAAAATGGCAGAACGTTCCAGAACATTAACTTAACATCCCATACCTTATACTTATTCAAATAGGTAAAGATAGGTATTCTTGATCTGTTCTTCCCTGGTTTTGCTGGGGTCTCAGATACAGAACTGTCTCAACTCCCAAGAAAAGCAGTTAGGGTGCTGAATGAGTTATAGATATTAACAAGCATTTAAAAAGTATGAATATAAATGACTTACTCTCTAAATTAATGATGTTTCACATCCATGGTATATGTGATATGAGCTCACCAGTTGCCCAGTCATCCATATAGCCTTTCAGGAAAAACAGGGTAGAGCGTAACTGTTTAAAAAAAAAAAAAAAAAGCGGAGACCTTTTTTGTTTTCCTTTTAAACATCATAAAGGACCAAGTCAAGAAAGCTGTCTTTTACCTTTGCTGGTCACCTTTAGAGTAAAAATCCCCTCCCTTCCCCTTCCACCCCGCCCAAGCAGTCTAAAAGTTCAAGATGTGAGCAGCACTGTTCTCCATGGCTAAAATGCTAAATATTTAAAAGTACTTTTTAAATTATAGCTAGCATATCTGTACCTACCTACAATCTTGCTGACACTACTACTAAAAAAAATCCTTCTCCTGCTTTGACAATAGACAAGACATCTTTTTCAGTATTAAATGCAATACAAATAGGATGGGGACTCTCTCTCTACTGAGTCACACATGCTCAATTTTCAGCAAGACAGTATGTTGCACTTCTTTCAGCTGTAGATTTCAAAGCACTTTTCAAAGATTGCATCAGCATGATTCTGCGCATTCTCACAGATGAGGTAACTGAGGCCTACAGAGAGATAGTGACTTGCCAAAGATTTCCCAAGAAGTCAGTGTCAAAACCAGAGTTAGACTCTATGTCTGAGTGCTAGAACCTATGCGTAATCCACTAGACGCTAGTGCTGCTGGTATATGTAATAAGTTCAGACTGGATAGATATGTTTATTAAAAATCAAGTATTTCTAACACCATAAACTGATGGTGGGACTAAGCAAAATGATAACTGGGCTTAAACGTCAATATTGACACATTGTATTACCTTAAGATATCTGTTGCAGTATGTGAAGATTTTCTAAAAAACTAATTGAAAACATGAAATCTTAAAGGTTGTAAGAATGTTTGGAAAAACTCCAGTTC